CCCCGAGCTACACTCGGGAATACCTCCAGGGAGGCTACAGTAAGTTTACTGGTAATGAAAATACCTTCTGAAATTACATTAATTTAAAATTTGCAGCTTTACCTAATATTTAACTTGTGAACCTTATATAAAGGCCTTTGTAACCTTATACAAAAGACACTGAACTTTCATAGGGCTTCAGATGATGCATGCATGGAGACAGGAGATGGCTTCAAAAAGGTTATCCATGGGCAACATAGAGAACAATTGCAATTGTTTGATACACCATGATTTAGCAAACTAAATGTTATTCAGTTAGGGTTTCCAGCAACTTTAAGGTTAGTGTATCTTTTTACTACTAAATCTTAACCGTTTACAGTTTACCTGTTCCAAATTATATTACCCTAATTCATAAAACCCCTAACACATAGCTCTAATAATTAGGCTCTGGCCCTAATCCTAACCTTACTTATAATATCAACCTTAGCCCTGGAATAGCCAGAGTTACTTCATCAAGCGCCAACAGTAAAGATGCCACATTCATGAAGCTTTGGTGAAACTACACATAGAATCAAGCTTTCTAATGCATTTGCACATATTTAAAAGATTTTTTTGTGCAAGATATGCATGGTTACCACTTCTGCTTTCTTAAAGGTATTCTGTGTATGTGCAGTGTGAACACAAGTATTAGGGATGCACCGATACGAGTTTATCGGTGTGTACCGATACTTTCGGTCAAGTACTCACCAATACCGAGTACTGATACTTTGTGGTGCGATTTGAGTTAACGAACAAATGAACAAAGGATAGTATGCGATTTAAACAGGAATGCGATTTCCTGTCCAAATCGCATGTGGTTTCCCCACTGCTGCTGTGTGAACCCAGGCTTGTCATAACCCGAATTCACGCAGGAGCGGTGTGGGAAACCTCCCAGCTGCTGACCAATCAGATGCCGTCTAGCCCAAACTGTCGTCGCTGCAAGGAGAGGAAAGAAAGCGGTGGGGATTTCAAATCCGTTCTCTCCTCTCCTACCACTGACACTCAGCATGAGATGCTACAGGGAGACTTACCGCACTGCAAAGTATCCATTAAGATATCGGTAGTATTTTCATGAGTACTCGTGATAATACTCGGTATCGGCATCAGTGCATCCCTAGTGTGTGTGTGTATGTGTATGTATGTATGTATGTATATATATATATATATATATATATATATATATATATATATATATATATATATACAGTGGGGATCGAAAGTTTGGGCACCCCAGCTAAAAATTTGTATTAATGTGCATAAAGAAGCCAAGGAAAGATGGAAATATCTCCAAAAGGCATCAAATTACAGATTAGACATTCTTATAATATGTCAACAAAAGTTAGATTTTATTTCCATCATTTACACTTTCAAAATAACAAAACAAAAAAATGGCGTCTGCAAAAGTTTGGGCACCCTGCAGAGTTAATATCTTGTGCTGCCCCCTTTGGCAAGTATCACAGCTTGTAAACGCTTTTTGTAGCCAGCCAAGAGTCTTTCAATTCTTGTTTGAGGTATCTTTGCCCATTCTTCCTTACAAAAGTCTTCCAGTTCTTTGAGATTTCTGGGCTGTCTGTCACGCACTGCTCTTTTAAGGTCTATCCATAGATTTTCAATTATGTTGAGGTCAGGAGATTGTGAAGGCCATGGCAAAACCTTCAGTTTACGCCTCTTGATGTAATCCCCCGTGGATTTCGAGGTGTGTTTAGGATCATTATCCATTTGTAGAAACCATCCTCTCTTTAACTTCAGCTTTTTCACAGATGGCATCAAGTTATCATCCAAAATTTGCTGAAATTTTATTGAATCCATTTTTCCTTCTACTCGTGAGATGTTCCCTGTGCCACTAGCTGCAACACAACCCCAAAGCATGATCGATCCAACCCCATGCTTAACAGTTGGACAGAGGTTCTTTTCATTAAATTCTGTGCCCCTTCTTCTCCAAACGTACCTTTGCTCATTCCGGCCAAAAAGTTCAATTTTAACCTCATCGGTCCACAGAACTTGTTTCCAAAATGCATCAGGCTTGTCTATATGTTCATTTGCAAAGTTCAAACGATGATTTTTGTGGTGAGGACGTAGAAGAGGTTTTCTTCTGATTACTCTTCCACGAAGACCATATTTGTACAAGTATTTCTTTATAGTGGAATAGTGTACCACAACTCCAGTGTCTGCCAGATCTTTCTGGAGGGATCGTGCAGTCAAACGTGGGTTTTGAATTGTTTTTCTCACAATCCTGCGAGCTGTTCTGTCTGATATTTTTCTTGGTCTTCAAGATGTTGCTTTAACTTCCACTGTTCCTGATGACTGCCATTTCTTAATTACATTCCAAACAGAGGATATTGACATCTGAAAACGCTTTGCTATCTTCTTACAGCCTTCTCCAGCTTTGTGAGCGTCAACTATTTTCAGTTTCAGTTTTCTAGACAACTGCTTAGAAGAACCCATGGTGCTGATTGTTGGGGCAAGGTCAGATGAGTCTGGGCATTTAAAACCTTTGAGATTGACATCACCTGGTCTTCCCAGATGATGATTGAGAACAATCCATGACACTGGCAGGTCTCAGCTTTGCAAAGGGGGCAGTGCATGCTATAAATTCTGCAGGGTGCCCAAACTTTTGCAGACGCCATTTTTTTGTTTTCTGCTATTTTGAAAGTGTAAATGATGGAAATAAAATCTAACTTTTGTTGACATATTATAAGAATGTCTAATCTGCATATATATATATTTCTACACACCCCTATTAAATGTCAAATTTCTGTGATGTAAAAAAAAATGGGACAAAGATAAATCTTTTCAGAACTTTTTCCACCTATAATGTAACCTATAAACTGTACAACTCAGTTGAACAACAAACTGAAATCTTTTAGGTGGAGGGAAGTAAAAATAAAAAACTAAAATAATATGGTTGCATAAGTGTGCACACCCTCAAACTAATACTATGTTGAAGCACCTTTTGATTTTATTCCAGCACGCAGTCTTTTTGGGTATGATTCTATTAGCATGGCACATCTTGACTTGGCAATATTTGCCCACTCTTCCTTGCAAAAACACTCCAAATTTATCAGATTGCAAGGTCATCTTCTGTGCACAGCTCTCTTCAGATCATCCCACAGATTTTTGATCAAATTCAGGTCTGGGCTCTGGCTGGGCCATTCCAAAACTTGAGTCTTCTGGTGAAGCTATTCCTTTGTTGATTTGGATGTATGCTTTGGGTCGTTGTCATGCTGAAAGATGAATCTCCTCTTCATGTTCAGCTTTCTAGCGGAGGCCTGCCGGTTTTGTGCCAATATTGACTGGTATTTGGAGCTATTAATAATTCGCTCTACCTTGACTAAGGCCCCAGTTCCAGCTGAAGAAAAATAGCCCCAAAGCATGATGCTGCCACCACCATGCTTCACTGTGGGTATGGTGTTCTTTTGGTGATGTGCAGTGCTGTTTTTGTGCCAAACATATCTTTTGAAATTATGGCCAAAAAGTTTAACCTTGGTTTCATCAGACCATAACACATTTTCCCACATGCTTTTGGGAGACTTCAGATGTGTTTTTTTGCAAAATTTAGCCGGTCTTAGATGTTTTCCTTAGTAAGAAAAGGCTTCCATCTTGCCACTCTGCCCCATAGCCCAGATATAAGAAGAATATGGGAGATTGTTGTCACCTGTACCACACAGCCAGTACTTGCCAGATATTCCTGCAGCTCCTTTAATGTTTCTGTAGGTCTCTTGGCAGCCTCCCAGACCAGTTTTATTCTCATCTTTTCATCAATTTTAGAGGGACATCCAGTTCTTGGTCACTGTTGCGCCATATTTTCTCCACTTGATGATGACTCTTCACTGTGTTCCATGGTATATCTAATGCCTTGGAAATTCTTTTGTACCCTTCTTCTGCCTGATACCTTTTAACAGTGAGATCCCTCTGATGCTTTGGAAGCTCTCTGCGGACCATGGCTTTTGCTGTAGGATGCGACTAAGAAAATGTCAGAAAAGACCTACTAGAACGGCTGAACTTTATGGCAGGTGTGTACCGACTCCTATTTAACAAGATTTTGAATGTGATTGCTTAATGTTGAACACAGTTACATCCCCAGTTATAAGAGGGTGTGCACACTTATGCAACCACATTATTTTAGTTTATGTTTACTCCCCCCCCCCCCCCCCCCCAAAAGATTTCAGTTTGTATAACCATATTATTTTAGTTTTTTATTTTTACTTCCCTCCACCTAAAAGATTTCAGTTTCTTGTTCAACAGAGTTGTACATTTTATAGGTCACATTAAAGGTAGAAAAAGTTCTGAAATGATTTATCTTTGTCTCATTTTTTTACATCAAAGAAACCTGACATGTTAACAGAGGTGTGTAGACTTTCTTTTTATATCCACTGTATATGTGTGTGTGCATGTCTCAATACAGAGAACCTGTCACCAAATAATCATCCCATAGGGGACTTTATGTCCCCTATGCGATGAAAACAAAAGGAAAAAATATTTTTTTTAGTTAACAAAAAAAAAAATGTTACACCCAATCACGTAACATCTCCCCCCACAAAAAATGTTGAGGGCCCCCCACATATACGCACGTACAAACGTAAATGCACACATCCAGGCTCCTGCTCTTGAAAATGTCGGTTGCGATACACGTTACATATTACTGCGCACAACCTCATCTTACATTTTATAAAAAATTTGTGAAAATTTATTGTGTTTGTCCCAAAATTCACTTTAGTGTGATTTTCACTGACATTTTGCGTTTTAGACATTTGCAATAATTTCGTGTGACAAAAAATTGGAACTACCACTATTTTATTCTCTAGGGTGTCTGCTTTCAGAAAATATATAATGTTTTGTGTAATCTTCAGACCTAAAATGGTTCTTTAAACATTGTGTATATATGTGTGTATATATTGACATATAAACGATTGACATTCACTGACTAGAACATAAACAATTAGACAAGTTAATTTTAATTTTTTTTTTTCTCCCACTTTCAGCCGTTATTGCCTTTTTCACAAAACAGGCTTGAGTATGATTCAGAGGATAGTCAAGGAAGCGATGATGAGGAAGAAGAGGATTATGGCTCATTATCAGAAGTCCAAATCCAGGAACACTCCAATTCTAACTCATATAGGTATACAAAAATAGAAATACAAAAGTGTATTTGTATAAACCCATCATTTACAGCATAATTTTACATTATACACAGACTAATGTTTAGAATAGCAACTAGAATTTCTTGGAGTGGTGTTGATCTTAAACCAGTTAGGGAACAGGGACAGCTTAGAATTCTGTTTAGCTGAGCCTACGTGTGAAACTACTGGGGCCTGCTATCAGCCTAGGTCCCAACCCATCTAGCACAGTATGCATTTCTGCTTAGCATTTGTTAAAATGCACCAAAAAAATAATACATTGTATTTTGATACATTGTGTATCTCAGCAACAGATAATTGTAATATGTAAAATATATATATATTTTTAACAACATTTAGCCCTGGTTCACACTGAATGCGACTTTAAAATTTCGTTACTTCACTTGAAGTAGCACGATTTCAAAGCTGCAGATCAGTTCGATTTGTACCTCTGATTTCACTCTGGTTTCATTTACTAGTAGTCAATGCAAGTCTCAAGCAAATTGGAAAAAAGTAATGCAGGAACTATTTTTGAAATCCCGCTGCTTCAGATCGCACTGATTAAGACCGTGCCATCGAAATACATTAGGTGCGACTTCAGGTGTGATTTGGAAATTTGAAGTCGCACCAATGTGAACCAATTCTTGGTGCCAGTTTACACTGTTGCGCTGCTGGAAACCACATTTGAATTGGGCAGGAATTGCACCACATTCCTGTTCAAATCATGTATGATTCATATTTTGTATGGCTCAAATCATACCAAAAACTGCACCACACTCTCAGGAAAGGTGCATGCACCCTTTTTTTCACACTGGAATCAGATCACATGGGTGTTCACACCAATGCAATCCGATTCACAGAATCACACTTTGCTCTGCAAACCTTTTTGGGATGTCTTCAACTTAACATAGACACTCGTAGCCGTTAGCATGAACGGAGTTTGATTCTGATGCACTGCGGGAAACGCACAGAATTTTCTGTAAATCCTTCACCGTATCAGTGTGAACTGGTCCTTGAACAACAAAAAGCTCTTGTAGTAAGTATTCAGTGCAGGTAGGTATACAAGTGTCTGCACATATCTGCAGCAGATCCCACCCTTGATAAAAGAAAGGGGTCTTGTGCAGCTCCAAAACAATTTTTTCTGTGTAAATACATTACTTTCATCATTGCACTTTGGAGTGCTGGCTTTTGTGATGTTCATGCTGACCTTTCTAAATGAGCAAAGTTCTGAAATATTTTCTGACAATTTCAGAGCTTTTTCCACTCCCTCTTGCTCACACATTTCTTATTGACCCATTGCTATAAACTGCCTTTTTCTCTAATACGAATGTGTGGAAGGGGGTGGTTAGGCTCTGTCACTACCAAGAAGTGTCTACAATGGCTGGAAATTGGCAATAGCACAGGTGAATGAATGCTGTGTTTTTATTAGGCAGTCACGTTAAAGCGGTATTAAACCCATAACCAAAAAGGTAATGTATTGCAGCTTACCAATCAGTAGATGTGGTGGCTGCATTTGTTTTCTATTTTTGGGGGTTTTCTCCCACTGTTTTCACCTGGTGATCTGGCTAGTAACACACTTCCTTTATTAGAGTGCCTTACACTTGGATGAGGCAGTAGACACCTTTGGATGGCAGTATTGTCAGTGTGGGGGAAGGGACTGTTAGGCCTCATGCATACAGTGTGTTTTTGCAGACACTTTTAGGCTGCATTCACACTTGAGTGTTTTCTAGCTTGAAGCTCCAAAAATGCTCAAATTTAAAAACAAATCAGTTGTTCTCTATGGTGCCTGTGCACACCTGATCGAATAGCACCGTAAGAACAGCTGATTTTTTAAATTTGAGTTTTTTTGGAGCTCCAGCTACAAAAACGCTCAAGTGTGAATGCAGCCTTCGGGGCATCTGACTTTTTTTTTTTCTTACTGCTCAAACGGCCCTCCTATGTTATCCTATGTGTTCATGCACACATAGAGTTTTAGAATATTTTAGTAGCATTTACCAAACAGGAAAAAAAAAACCCAGGGCCAGTGCGTCCAGGAGCGGCAATGTTTTGGCAGTAAAAAAAAAACACTTGAAAATAAACACTTGTCAACTCTAGGCACTTGAGCGTTAATTATTTTCAATGGCCAGAATTATTATTCTGGCCAATTAAATGAGCCCAGACGCTCAAATGCACCTAAGCGCTTGAAAAAGCGTTTGTCATTTGCGACAGCGTTTATTCTGACAAAATGCTGATACCAAGAGGCAGAGAGTTTTCTTAAACGCTTTGTGCACGAGTTTAAATGTACACATATACTGAAGCTGGACTCCAGCTAACACTTTATATGCAGTTACATCAAACTGTGATTTTTTTTCCTTTTAGGATAAAGGTTTTAGATAAATAAAAGCTAAACATTGTAAGCACCCCGCCAGTGGTAAATGGTTTGTCTCAACCCTGTAACTGCTACATCTGCAGGTAGCAGTCACAACAGTTAGTCGTTCTGTTGAAAAATTACACTTGCTAGCAATATTAACCTCCTGAAAATAAATTATAGCAAAAAGAAAACTAATAGAGCCATCACGTCTAAGACTTTGCAAGCTGCAGTTTAATAAATGCTTTCTTTTGGGTTTAATACCACTGCAAGCAACTCATAAAACAAGTATGAAAAAGTGAGAGGGGTATTTAGGGATAACAAGAGTTTTCTAGTTTTTTTTTTGGTTTTTTGTTTTTTTTAAATGAGAATGTTTGTTAACTTCTGTTATGTAAGCTTTATTTAAAAGAAAACCTTGAAGTTTTTTCTATTTTGATTTATTTTTAAAGCCTATTTCTTTTATAAATAATCTTTGCATCAGAAAGCTACACTTTTTTGTTTTTCATATCATCTAACTCATGGGGAAGTTGGGGTTATTGTAATCTGTCACTCTTTTTTTGAATGATGCTTAATGAATCGACCATAGTAATTTGTTGCTTATTCCAGCTTATTGCGCATACCAGATTGTGAGCAGTTCAAACTTTTTAAATTTACCTTCCAGCTGGGCTCTGATGCGTCTTGCAATGGTACAATTTGTCCTTCAGAATTTGAAAGGCTTTTACCCATTGGCTGGACACGACCTTTCAGGTAACTTTAAGAACTGATTAGTACTTTAGAAGTAATTCATAATTTAGAACTGATAAGTACTGCATTAAATTGAAACCATCAGTGTGTGTTGATGCTCAGATGGGTCATAATGGGAAATGTTATATTGTTTTTAAGTCTGTGTATAGCTGGTAAGTGAGCGGCAGCCCGTTGATCAGTTTAATTGTTGATATTTTTCTTACTGTTGACTATCGGTCAGTTGCAGTGATTAGAAAAAATTACAGGCTTTTTAATTTTACTTAGTGTATGTTGTACAGATACCAAGGCTGTTGAAATCTCTTTGCTAAGGGCTCTTCAGCCATGTTTGGTATGAATCCCCTGTGATTCTCATAGAATTTTTTTAGGCACTGTTGTGGCAGAACAGGGGCGCAGCTTTTGAGTTGCAGATCCATGATAACAAAGCATAAAAAACAAACAAGGACCATCTCTCCGGTATCTGACCTGGAAAAAGTAGTTATCAAGTGATATTTCCTTTTGATTCTTACAGATCTTCCTGTAGCCTCACCCCTCTGTCATGCCACTCTCAAGACTTTACAGAGGTGGGAACAGGTACTCCTGCGAAGACTTGAAATATATGGCGGTCCACCACAAGATTTTATTACCATGCCAAGCACAGAGGAGGCTCTGTCTGCTGGACCTGCAATCTTGAGGCACAAGGCATTGTTGGAGCCAACAAATACACCTTTCAAGTTGGTATTCCTGCAGCTAAAGCAAATTTTCCTAATGTTCTGTAAAATGCTAAAACTTAGTGGTAGGTGATTGATTAGCATACAACTGCTGAAAATCCTCACTGGTTTCTCAGAGGAATAAATGACATAGATAACAATCTAATTATTATAAAATAATGTTTAATTATATTATTGTATAAGTATGTGAAAGAAAAAAAAACAGGCCTTTAAAGCATTATTAAGCCCAAAATGTAATATATTGCAGGTTACCAATCTTTAGATGTGCTGTCTGTGTTAGTTTTCTTTTAGGATTTTTCCCCTGTTTTTTCACCTGGTGATCTGGCCTTTAATAGAGTGCCTCCACTTTGAATAAAGGAGCACAGGGGCATCTTTTTGACATCAGTGTTGTTACAGTGGTAATAAACTCAGCCGCCCCAATAAAAAAAAAAAAACATAAGCCCACTCTTCCATTGTTAAAAACACACCGCAATATACCCCTTATCTTGTTTTACGTAGTTCTTTATGCTTCATTTCATTTAATGTTTCCCTGCCGAAGTCTGCACCGTCTTACAGTGCATCCAGAAAGTATGCCCATCGCTTAACTTTTGCCACATTGTATTATGTTACAGCCTTATTCCAAAATGAATTAAATTCATTTTTTTTCCTCAGCATTCTACAAACAATACACCGTAATGACAGCATGAAAGAAGTTTATTTTGAAATCTTTGCAATTTATTAAAAATCAAAAACATAAAAAAAAAACACATGTACTTAAGTATTTGCAGCCTTTGCTCAATACTTTGTTGAAGCACCTTTAGCACCAATTACAGCCTCAAGTCGTTATGAGTATGATGCTACAAGCTTGGCACACCTATTTTTGGACAATTTCTCCCATTCTTCCTTGCAGTACCTCTCAAGCTCCTTCAGGTTGGATGCGGAGTATCGGTGCACAGCCATTTTCAGATCTCTCCAGAGATGTTCAATCTGGTTCAAGTCTGGACTCTGTTTTTATTTTTAATAAATTGCAAATATTTCAAAACAAACTTCTTTCATGCTGCCATATGGGGTATTGTTTGTAGAATGTTGAGGAAAAAAATGAATTTAATCCATTTTGGAACAAGGCTGTAACATAACAAAATGTGGCAAAAGTTAAGCACTGTGAATACTTTCTGGATGCACTGTAACGGTTCTCTTTCACTTTCATCATGTAGTACATATTTTCCCTTTCTCCTGTATCCTTGCACAATGTTGTCACTGTCTGTGGCATGTCAAGTCACATGGAGTGTTTCAGGAACTCTACAATAGGTCAGCACCCTTGCGTTATTGCAAAGCAATGCTGATGAAGGCAAGAGGATATGTGGATTAACGGCATACTGGTTGTGCCATGCCTGGGGACAAAATGTGCTTGCGCTGATGATGCCACTACACAAAAGATCAGGCTATTTCTTCTGAAGGGTGCATTGTTGGACACATATGATGCTTAGCATGGAAAAAATTATGCTGGAGCACAATGCTTAACCACTTGATCTCCAGAGGATTTACCCCCGTTAATGACCAGGCCTCCTTTTGCTACTCAGCGCTGCACTAATTCAACTGATAATTGCGTGGTCATGCAATGCTGCACCCAAACTAAATTTACGTCCTTTTTTTCACACAAATAGAGCTTTCTTTCGGTGGCATTTGATCACCTGTGCGCTTTTTATTTTTCACGCTATAAACAAAAAATGATCAAAAATTTTTAAGAAAAACAATATTTTTTACTTTCAGCTATAAAAAATATATAGTAAATTCAAAATTGGTTATAAATTTAGGCCAAAATGTATTGTGCTACAGGTTTTTTGTAAAAAAAAAAAAAATCTCAATAAGTGTATATTGATTGCTTTGTGTGAAAGTTCTAGCGTCTACAAACTATGGTATAGATACTGCAATTTACACCATTTTTTTCCTATACAGCGCTGCGCTAGTTTAATGGACAATTGCACGGTCATGCAATACGGTACATAAATGAAATTTACATCCTTTTTTCCCACAAATTGAGCTTTCTTTCTGTGGTATTTGATCGCCTGTGCGGTTTTTATTTTTTGCACTATAAAAAAAAAGGCTGACAATTTTGAGGAAAAAAAAACAATATTTGGGACTTTTTGCTATAAAACATGTCCAGTAAAAAAAAATTTAAAAATCAAATTTAGTCATAAATTTCTGCCAAAATGCATTCTGTGACATGCCTGTGCTAAAAAAAACAAAAAAACCCAATACGTGTAAATTAATTGGTTTACGTGAAAGTTATAGCGTTTACAAATGGCGGGAAAGATACTGGGATTTTTAGGTTTTTTTTATACTAATAATGGCGGCGATCAGTGACTTATGGCGGGACTGCGGCAGACATTCTGACATTGGGGGGTACTGACTTGGGGTCACTGACATCCCCAGTGGCACCAATACAGTGATCAGTGCAAAAAAAACACTGTACTAATGGCACTGGGGAGGAAAGGGTTAAGTTTATTTTTCAGGGAAAGGGTTAACTGTGTGAGGGAAGTGTTTTACTAGGGGGCAGGGGTGTGTACTGCAGGGAACACTGCTGATGGGGATAGATAAACTCTTCTGTCCCGAACAGCGTGTCCTGGAGCTGTCAGGGAACTGACAGAAAACACAGCTACTGCAGCTGTGCTCTCTGTCAGCGATTGCCGCCGATCGCCGGGACATAGCCGTTAACGACCGGCTGTGACTCGGTGACTGACATCCGCGGCTGTGATCGGCGGGACAGGTAGGGCGGCGGCGCGCCTCGCGCGCGCCCCCTACCTGTTTACAAAACACACGTTTTAAAACGTGCTTTTGCCCAGCCGGGCTGCCCTGCCGCTGTATTTATACAGTGGCTGGGCGGCATGTGGTTAACATGAGGAAAACTTATGAATGAAGGTTTACTACCGCTTTAATCTGGGGAAAGGAAAGTGTTAGATGTACTAGCAGATTTGGATACACTAACAAATTGAAGCTGAACTCCAACAAACACTTTATAAGCAATTACAGAAAACATTTTTTTTTTTTAATTTTAGGATGTTGTACATATATAAGTAAAACCTGATCATTGTAAGCACCCATCAGTAATAAATGGTATATCTCAACCCTGTAACTGCTGCATCTGCAGGACAGCTTTTTCTGTTGAAAAGCAACAGATTTACTGGCCAGATCACCAGGTGAAAATAAAGGGAAAAAAAGACTAAAAACGAAAACTAATGCAGCCATCACATCTGATAATTAGTAAGCAGCAGTATAATAAGAGTTTGTTTTTGGATTTAATACAACTTTATTTAGAACTGTAGAACCCAAATAAAGGCTGAATTGTGGAGAAAGGCACATACCTGCACAAGGCCGCAAAGCTGGTGTCCTGTCCATTATACCCTAGATTAGTAGTTCTCATGCACTAGACCTCTGTCTTTCTGTTTTTCTGAAGCTCAGGTCCTTTGTAGTTTTTGTACACCTAAGTATATAGAGGTCATTTTAGTAATCTTTTTAGGGTTCATTCACACCAGTGCGGTGCATCTCATTGATATGCATTAAGGCACATTACCTGTGTTAGCACGTTATGGAGCCATTCATTTTTTAATAGCACCCCAACATACTAAGGCAGCACAACTCCAACACTTATAGTGCACATCATCAAACCATTGTGCATTTTGGTGTGCTGCATTGTAAAAAAAGGTGCATGTCTGTTTTTTTTGGTGCATTCACAGCTGTGTAGTCAAGGCTCAATAGGCCTTGACTACACAGAATGCAATTGCTTTCCACTAACTAGTTAATGGCTGTAAACAAAATATTTTGGTTCAGTGTTGGTAATAACTCACTTTGGCGTTTTAAGTCTTTTAGTGAACATATTTTCTGCCATTTCACTGTTTAGATCCAAGCACACAAGTACCTTGCCAGTAAAGAGGCTTTGGCAGTATTTAGTAAAACAAGAAGGCATCCAGGAAACCTTTATAAGGAATATTTTTACAAAGAAAAGATCTTTGAATGAGGTATGTCTTAATATTTGTTTGTTTGTGTATATATAACAAAATAGCTAACTGGAGATATCTTTCACTTTTTTTAAATGAAATTATTAATATAATAATTTTTTGCACTTCAGATAAAATTTTGGATGCAGTATCCCCCCGGTTAATACAGGCTTAATAAATAGATTAAATTCTAGAAGGTTTACACATTAAAGGGGTATTATCCTGTATGTTGTTCGACCTAACAAGAAAGATGTCTAATAGGTAAACTGGTCATTTGCATTTACTTAACCCCTTCACGCCTAAGCACAATCTTGCATACATATCATCACAACTACTTTGTACATCCAGGTGAATTATACCGTGTTTTTTTCAGGACAAATGGGCTTTCATTTGGTGGTTAATGGTAATGGACCCAAACACTAACCCTGGCACTGAACTAGATCAAACCTTGATCTTGGTATTTTTTTCTTTTATTTTTTAATATATATATATTATATATATTTTTGTGATGCCACATATTTGTGTTATGTCGGTATGAAAGGGTTAAACCATAAATTCACCTTTCATAACATGTTACACCCATATTCAGGGTGTAACATGTAAAATGTTATGATGAGACCGACTCCCCTGCTTTGACAGCTAGCGTGGGATCTTTTTTTTTTTTAACAATTTTTTTCCCCTTTATGCAAGGAGAGAGAGAGAGACCATCTCTCGTCTCCATTCACAGAGAAAAAAAAACAAGGGGGGGGTGGGCTGTACAGTGACTGATCACTGTGATAGCCAATCAGAGGCTATCACAGCGATCATGTGACCCGGAATCGGGAGTTCCGGGTCCCGATCATTCGAACAGGACCCGCGGCTCTCTGTGACACCGCGGTCTTTGTGCTGGGAGCGTGCTGTGTGGTGCGCTCCCAGCACAGAGACGGGTACACAGATATGCGGCCCCATGGAAAAAAAGCCCAGTTTTGTGATGCCACATATTTGTGTTACGTCGGCATGAAAGGGTTAAACCATAAATTCACCTTTCATAACATGTTACACCCATATTCAGGGTGTAACATGTAAAATGTTATGAGACCGACTCCCCTGCTTTGACAGCTAGCGGGGGATCTTTTCCCCCTTTACAAACTGTCAAATTTATAAAAAACTGTGCCTGTGCAGGGCTCCGCTCGCCCAGCCGCATCTCTCATTCACTGTGTTCTGTGAATGACAAACTTCAAGTCCCGACAGCCTTAGCGGCTGTCTGTTTGTTTGTAGTTCTCAATGAACTACCATGGTGCTGTGGAGCGCCGTGGTAGTTCATTGAGTCTTCCTGTCAGTAAATCTGCTTGCTTGTACACCCTGTATAGGCAAGCAGATATACTGACAGATCTGCAGGAGACCTGCATTGCACCAGCAGTCTGATCACTGGTGCAATACTTTACAGGCTCCTGCAACAAAAAAATAATAAATGCGCATTTTTTTTACCTGCAAATAAATGTGCATTTATTATTTTTTGTATTTAAAGTGAACTTATCCTTTTAAAGAAAAAAAAAAACAGGAGCTAAACTCCTATTTGGCTTAACTGGTGTTTTATATTTGTATAAAGACTTAAGCTCCGGAAAATTTTACCCCCTTCAGGACCAGGCCATTTTTGCTATTTAGCACTGAGCTGGTAATTGCATAGTCATGCATAGTCATGCAACACTGTACCCAAATGAAATTTATATAATTTTTTTTTCACACAGATAGAGCTTTCTTTTGGTGGTATTTGATAACTACTGGGTTTTTTATTTCATATTGTATAAACGAAAAAAGCCTGAAAATTTAAAAAATAAATACATTTTTTTTTTTTTACTTTATGCTATAAAATTTTAAAAAACAAATTTAGGCCAAAATGTATTCTGCTACATGTCTTTGGTAAAAAAAAAAAATACCAATAAGCATATATTAATTGGTTTGGATGTTATAGCCTCTAAAAACTATGGTATACTGTATATTCTGGAATTGTATATTATTTTTTTTTTACTAATTCTAGTAATAGCAGTGATCAGTAACCTCTAGTGGGGGGGACTGTGATAATGTGGCGGGCAATCTGACAATTTGCTTAGAGTGTGTTGCTTTTACTAAGCTTCACAGGGAGAAAAAAAACAACCACATCACTGCTCTCCGTAGAGAGCCCTGTGTTGTTTACCAACACAGGGCTCTCTTCTGACATTCGCTCAGCTGATCAGCAGGTCCTGGCCATTAATCACCGAGAACCGCTGATCGACTTGTGCTATAACAAATGACAGCACAGCTGTGGTGGCTGACGTGCACACCCCTTCCGGGGACCCGCAGTATTAATATTTATTAGTGTTTATAATTAGTGTGTCATATTGTTTATTATTGTTTATTGGAGTTTATAATACAGTATTATATTGTTTATAAATAAAGGGTATATTCAGATCTGTTGAGACCTGATCATTATTTGTAAGTATATATATCAGGTCTGTTGAGATCTGCGATTACATGAAACAAGTTTTACAGACACATGGTTGGAGAGTAGCTACCATCTGATTGATAGTTTGCACCTGTGTAATCTGTACGTGGAGGGGTTAGCAGGTGCATCAATCAGATGGGGAGCTCAGGTTTTGACAAAGCACAGGAAAGGTGAAATGCGTTAACCCCTTTATCCCTCCCCATGTGTGCATGCATCTACACACCATTGCTGTTTTTATGGGGTTTTTTTTTTAAATTACTTTAGTGATTACATTGAAGATTAAGAGTGCAACCGACTGGACTTTTTCTTTGTAACACTAAGGGGAGTTTAGAAGCAGACAACATTGAAACTCTGAAAAAGTGTCACACATTGAACTGTTTGAATTTAGGAGGGGCTTGACTTTTATAACTAGCAGGAAATGAGCATTCATAAATTTATTCTGGGTATTTTCATACTGCTTTCAAATTCTGTCTCCAGACAGAAACAGATATGGCTTCTTCAGGAGGAAGAGCAAGAATAATCCACAAAGAGTCTGACATAATTACTGCATTTTCCGTAAATAAGGTATGTTCAGTGCATGTTCATCTTCGGTTTTTGACAATGTTATTAGTGCTTTGTTAATTTGTTGTTTTTTTTTCTAACACTTGTTCTTTTTGTGTTCCACAAAGAATAGTCGTATGTTGTGTAAAATTTATTTTTTAATTGTACATTACAGGACCAAGGATAAGAGTTGTAGACTATGGCTTATGCAGCTGTCTGGACCAGATCCAAGTGATTGGATGCTGGCAAACAAAGTTGTAAAGATAGCCTTAAAGTAGAACCATAGGCAAAACCTTTTTCTTTTTCATTTTGGTTAGAGTAAGGGAGGGTTATAACCCCTGAAAGTTTTTTTTTTTTTTTTTTTTTTTTTTTTTTTGTCACCTGTGTTCCATTGGGGAAATTTAAATTCAGTTCCTGTCCCATAGCCAAAACACAAAGAGAGAGCTAATCCCCGCAAATTAAAGGAATTCCTTGGGGACCCCCCAGGTCATTAGAACTAGTGTCCCCATTAGAAAATGTCCCCTCTATTACTTTTTGGGGACAACCCAAAATTTGGGATTTTCTTTACTTTGACTTTGGATAATAATGGTCTAACAAGGGCACAGACTGCAATAAAAAACCTAATGTGTGTTCTAATCCATCTCCACTGTGTCCAAGAAGAAAAAAAAAATTGCCTTTTAGTTGTACTCATTTTTGGCTAGTATAAGTGAATAGACTTGTTTTCTCTTTTCTGAGAGAAGTAACAATTTCCTTTAATTGCTTTTTCTACTTTATTTTTTTTTTTCATCCGAACTCCTTTAGAAAGTTTACTAGGTACCACAACTGCAGTTTCCCAGCTTACGGCTTTCCAATTCAGTTGACTCCTCTTCTCCACCTTGTGGGGACTGTGTGTACCTAGACCTGGCGGAAGATTTGGGGCCTGCCTGTAAAGTTGCTTCAGGCACTGGATCTTGCGTTGGTCCCAGTTTACACAAGCAGCAGCCCTTCTGCAAGTACCCCTTGTGCAACACAATTTACTACACATGGCAGATCATAAATGCTAGGGAAGTGGGTCAGCCAGCGGGCCTTGCCAGCTCACCCTCAGCAATTGGCTTGGGGGGGGGGGGGGTATTCTGTTAATCCTTACTGCTGTCCCCATTCTAGGTTGCTTCATTCCTCAGAACCCATACTTCTGGTGCATCCCATTCTTCTGTTTATCCAGAGAAAGTTTTCCACCACTTTGTCTAATTTTATTGAAAGACATTTAGCCCTTTTGGAAACCACAGTTCACAGGGGCCACAAGTTGACTCTCTTGGCCTGTCTTTCAGTTGGCCTTTCTCTTTCAGCTTTGGTGTACAGGTGGATGCCCAGTCCACTGACATCTTTCCCAAGCTCTAGGCTACTAAAAAATTATCTTTTGCTTCAATCTTGTCTGGAACAGCATTTGGCTTTGAGGGATCTCAGTCTGGTTTTGTTGGTTCTACTGAGATCCCTCTCTTCCTCACTCACAATTTCGATGTGGACCTATTAGCATTTATTTGCTGTGTTGAGCTTCTGTTTGGCTTATCTGTATAAACATCTTATGGTCTAAAGCCCGGTACACACTGCAAGTTTTGTTTCTGGTCAACCCAGCAAACGCAACAGGCAAAGTTTTCATAGACTCTGAGACATCCCCAAGCAATGAATAAAAGGGTGGGTAACAGCTAGACAAAGAGAATTGTGCCAACAGCCCCAACAACAACAAGGGTCAAAAGGACCCAACTTCAGTGCCGCTGCAAGAACCTTGCAGACGAAAGCTTTATCCACAGGAGACAGGAAATCTGCCTGGTAGAAATTTGAAAAATGTCCAGGTGGCCACCTTGCAAATCTGGGCTACAGTGGCTTGGTGTTAAAATGCCCAGAAAACACCCACCAATTTGGTGGAATGGGTGCATAAAGGCACATTTTCCTTCAAAGTGTAAGTTCTCGTGATCAGATTGCTTATCCATCTCACAGTTGTGGAATAGGAAGCAGGGCATCCCTTGGGAGGTCTTGAGGACAGGACAAATAGGGAAGCTGTCTATCTGATGGAAACTGTAGCTGTGAGGGTAGACTCTAATGGATCTGACTACACCCAGGCAATGAGTCAAACTTTCCTTTGATACTTTGGAGCAAGCCATAAGAATGACAGGGCTATGTCCTCATGAAGTGTAAGAAAACCTTATCTTTGTGAAGTATGAGGAAGTGCTCCTTACAAAAGAAAGCCTCCAACTCAGACACATCGAACAGGTATGATGGCAATCAAAGGGGCTACATTCTAGAAGTCATCTAAAGGAATGTACAGTATTGGATGTATTCAAAGGGTGGTTTCTGCAGATTTATAAAGAACCAAAGTGATTTTTCTTGCTTGCAGCAAGGCAGGAATGGCAGACTCAGAAACCCTCTAAGCTTCAACAGCCCTGCTGCTAAAGCCAGAGACTGAAAATTAGGATGGAATAAAAGGCCTTGGACAGCACCTCTGACCTGTTAGGAAGAGGCCAGGAGTCCTGTGCTAGAAATCTGAGTATGTCTGTGTTCTAGGTTCTTATCAGGGTATCTGAGGTCAGTGCCAAAGGATACTGGTCCTGGTTATAAACGGCTAGTGTGGTGTTGAATCTGGATGGTAGAAAGTCTACATCGGTAGTCCCCCATTTCTGACATCAGATGTCTGGGTGAAGGGCCCATTCCCCTTGAGCCAGGCAGTGGTGGCTGAGGTAGTCCGCTTTCCAGCTGTCTACTCATGGGATGTAGACTGAAGAGATCACTGACAGCAAAGCCATGAGATTATCTGCATTGCTTCCTTCAAGGCTGCAAGACTCCTGGTGTCCCCTTGGTGGTTGTTGTAAGCCACAGTTGTGGCATTGTCTCGCTGCACCCTGATTGGATGTCCTCGCAGAAGGGTTCATTCTTATAATCTGTTGTGAAAAATGTCCTTTAGTTGCACAGAAATTACATTCCGACACTTAGATGTTTAAGGGATTTCAACAGTGCTGTCTGAACTCTCCATGAAGTTCAAGTCTAATATTTATAGTTATGCACTTAAGTAAAAATCTTTAAAAGAGAAACGTAAATGCATTTAATCTATTTTAGAATAGACCTGTTCTTGCAAGTATATTTCTACTGTACTCATGTTTCCTGCGCTATAATAAATTTTGTTTCATGGAATAAGCTGTTTACTTCATAATCTCTTAAAATGTCTGCAATTTATTTCCTTCAAGGCCAACAGAAATTGCATTGCTATTGCTTCTAGCCACGATATCCAAGAACTTGATGTGTCTGCAATACTGGCTACCCAGATTTACTCCTGGATTGATGAGGACTTTGAAACCGAAAATAAAGGGTATGCATTTCTTCAGTTTTAATAATGATCCTCTGAATTACTGCAGGTACGTATAATTGATTGTATAGTGAAGAAAAAGTGATCATGAGTGCCGCGCAACTCGCTAGACCCTGTGTGGATGGCGAGAGCAGCCTCTGCCCAGACTCTTGTCTAGTCCATGCCCCCTGACACGTTTCATCCAACCCACAGGGCTTATTCATGGATGACTACGCGTCGTGGGCGGGGAGAAAGGTGTCGGGCATGGCCTGAACAGTGCCTGGGCTGATGCTGCTCTCATGATCCACACCGTCTTGCGAGATGTGTGGCATTCGGGGTCACTTTCTTTTGCTCACTTGCATCTATTGAGCTGAGGCAAGCTTCTTCCCTGCCTCCAACTCTCAAGGACTGACAGGAGCCTGGAACGGCACCGCCAGTCTAGAGTTTGTCATATACAATTATAGTCATATTTTTATATGATAATGATGCAATGTGTGATACTGCGCTGCTAAAAAAAAAAAAAAAAAAATGTGTAGCATTTGTATATTTCCTATAGTAAAATATACTTGTGATACGCATAAAATATACCTCACAGAAAACATATAACATGTGCACTTGATGAAAAGTCCTACAGATCAGTCTATTAAATCCATAATTTGATATTAGATAATATAGACTCTTATTATCCACCTCCCGTCCGGCTGTTGTATATAAATGGCCGGACGGTGGCAGTGCAGGGTCGGGTGGCCGTTTATAAACGGCCTCCCCGCACCCTGCTTGTGCGCGCTCCCTGGGAGCGCGCAGTACCACGATCCGGTGCCCGCTGTGTCCTCTGGGCACAGTGGAACACCGATTGTCGGACGGGACCTAGTGTGGGAACACATTTTGATGCTAGCAGCAGTTGCATGCACTTGGAGATATTTATTTAGTGACTCACTTTTGAGGTAGTGCCAGAGTTGCACATCTCACTATATTTTTATATGTGTAGTAAGTTTGACTTCAGGTAGAGTTCAGAAGTAGACATTTGACTGTTCAGAACATATATTGGAACAGCAAAATGGCAGGGAAACCAATATATCTTTGGTGTTTAACTGTATCATACTGCTCGGTATGAAATGCAGTAAAAGAGCGCCATGACATGACACCATTGTCCTAATACAGGACAGCCCTGCAGTTGATCTTAGTGCTGCAAAAAGCATAAACTGAAGTGAGCTAATTGAGCTCTTAAAGGATAAGGGAGAGTGTCCGAGACAATTGACATAAAATGAAATTAGTGTAGGTTTCGGTTATATAATATTTCTTTGTGTTGATTAGACGCTTTTATTCTTCAAGTAATACTTCTGTTCCAGAATACATGATGACAAGACTGGCTGCTTAATTTGCATTCATTTTATTTTGCTATGTGCTGTGGTCTTTTTACAGACCAGATGACTTCTTGGTTGTACACACACGGGATGACCTCACAGCTGTGCAGGGATCCACTCCTTACACCCACAGTAACCCAGGCACCCCTATCAATATGCCTTGGCTTGGAGGAATTCAGACTGGAAGGGGTGCATCTGTGGTAAGTACCGTGTCATTTTATTGCATGTAAATATAATATTGAATAGGTGCTTTTCTGTAGAATAGTATAGTCATTTTCCTTTGGTTTAGCTTTGTACATCAAAAAAGGAGCATGATAAATGTTTTTTTTTAGTGTGACTAATGATCACATTTTTAATGCAGACAAGAAAATGTATTGGTTCATCTAAAGCTTCCTGTAATTTCCTGTACTAGCTGAAAAAAAGTGCAGTGTCACTGTTGGTATGACTGCACATCATTAAAAATAAGTTTACTGTTTTAAACCAGTAGAATAATTTGAAATCTGTTATTGTGGGTATGTTCAAAGTTTTTTTTTCAATGCCCTGTCATGAAATGTCTTCTGTAGTGTAATATAGCCACGATCATTACCAACTCTTGGTGGGTAAATGAGAGTTAGAATTCCATTAAAAAAAACATATTATATTGTAATTCTACATTGTTGCCCTAGAAAGATTTTATGGGAAATCATACTTTAAATTTTAGTATCATAAAATGGTGCATTTAGCAAAAGCAGCACTGTTCCTCAAAAATCCTTTCTACCAGTAAAGGCACCGCGTACAGTGCATGTCTTCACCAGTCATTAGTTATTTAGAGATGTTTTAGCATCAGTATTCTGCAAGGAACAACGAATAAATACCAATTAAATTCCAGGTCAAAACCTACCCTATCCAATTTAGACAGACATGTAATGGAAAATAATCACAAAAAATGTAATTTCAACTTTATGCACACCCAATAGGAAACACTTAAAGTTAAACAAAAAAAGGAGGGCTTGAATTTTCAGTCACAGAATACTTAACCTCTTCCTGCAGAGCGTGTGCATACGGTCATGGCCAAAAATATTGGCACCCCTGAATTTCTGTCAATTGATGCGCCACTTTGCACAGAAAATTGTTGCAATTACAAGTGTTTAAGCATTCTCATGTTTCTTTTGTTTGTATTGCTATGGCACAAAAAAGTGGAGAAACCAAAAGCCAAATCAAACACTTTCCACACAAAACTCCAAAAATGGACTGAATGAAATTATTGGCAACCTCAATTTAATATTTAGTAGCACACGCTTTGGAAAAAGTAACTGAAATTGCTCATTTCCTGTAACCATCAATGAGTTTCTTACACCTCTCTACTGGAACTTTGGACCACTTTTCTTTTGCCAACTGCTCCAGGTCTCTCATATTGGCAGGTTTCCTTTTCCCAACTGCTTTTTTGAGATCTCTCCACAGGTGCTCTATGGGATTGAGATTTGGACTCATTACTGGCCAGTTCAGTACTCTCCAGCACTTTGTCTGAAACCATTTCTGGGTGCTTTTTGACATGTGCTTTAGGTAATTTTCCTGCTGTAAGACCCATGACCTCTGATGGAGACCCAACTTTATGAAACTGGGCCCTACATTGCACCTCAGAATTCTTTGGTTGTCTTCAGATTTAATGAAGGGACTGTATTCTGTTCTTTAAACGCCTCATTGCTTTTTCTGAAAACAGTACCATGATGGGCTTTACCAAAAAGCTGTAATTTTATTTCATCTGTCCACAGTACATTCTCACAAAGGATTATGGCTTCCTCAGATAAGTTTTGGCAAACTCCAACTTGGAATTTTCATGTTTCTGTATCAGCAGTGGGGTCTCCTACAATAGTGTCTTTTTCATTCAGATGGCAGTGATTCCCTGGTAAATTTTCTGCTGTTTAGGAAAAAAAAAATGAGTGCAACTATGCTAAAATTTTTGTCAATAAGGCAGTGTTTTACAATGATCTACATTTTCTGCAACAGGCAGATGTTCTAACATGATGATGCAAGGGGGAAAGACTTTTATTCAGAAACATGGTTTTGGATGGTGCATTATATGTAGTTTTGGTTAACTACACAAAGAGAAAAAAAAAAAATTCACTACTGTACCTGCGTGGCAATTTTAATTATAAGCCTTTTATGACCACATGTACATTTTATACATAATCTTTTTTTCCCCAACAGATGATAAAGAGAACAATCAAAGAGGTTCGAAGAATGGCATCACATCCAACACTGCCTTACTGTAAGTTCATTGTGTTTTTGTGGGAATATTAGAAGGAAAACTAGTGTATTCTCATATTGTGAGTTATGGTAAAGTTAATACCAATTTTTATGATACAAGCTTCGCATGTTTTGAGTAGTTGCTGATCCTTACCTTCAGGAAGTTATTTCATTAATCTGATATAAAGATAGCAGCTACAAGTATAATCCACAAATAAATGTGTGTGTGTGTGTGTCATCACCTTTGCTCAGTGACTGATAAAATATGGCCATTTAGGTAGGTAGAGGTGTGTAGTATTTATGTGCCTTCCTTAGTTAAAAGTGATGCTCAAGGTTCACTTTAAAAAAAAAAAATGTCATACAATGGATTTGCACAGATCAGCCCCGATCCTCCTCTTCTCAGGTCCCCTGCTGGTGCTCCTGGCCCCTTCCTCCTGCTAAGTGCCGCCAGAGCAAGCCACTTGCTCTGGGGGTGCTCGTGCATGTCCCACTCCCTACTCACTGACTGTGATTGACAGCAGCGGGAGCCAATGGTTCCCACTGCTGTGTCTCAGCTAATGAGGCGATAGAGACCTGGGAGAGCCGCTGCTCTTGTGCACATCACTGGATCGAAATCAGGGTCATGTGAGTATAAGGGGTGGCTGAGGGGTCAGCTGCACACAAATGTGTTTTTTTTTTTTTTATTTTTTTTTTTTTGGGGGGGGGGGTTTGCATGAAGGTAAAAAAGCCTTTTGAACCGCTTGCCTACCGGGCACTTCCCCCCCACCCTGCGCAGGCCAATTTTTACCTTTCGGTGTTGTTGCACTTTGACAATTGCGCGGTCATGCAACATTGTGCCCATATGACATTTTTATAATTTGTTTCACACAAATAGAGCTTTCTTTTGGTGGTATTTACTCGCCACTGGGGTTTTTATTTTTTGCACTATTTTTAAATTAAAAAAAGAGCACGAAATTTGAAAAGCAAAAAGGGTTTCCTCTGTTTCTATTATAAAATTTTTCAAACAGGTAATTTTTACTCCACTGATGTGCATTGATGAGGTGGTACTGATAGGCGGCACTGATGAGACAGCACTGATATGTAGCACTGATGAGGCACCAAGATGGTAGTGATGGGTGGCACTGACAGATGGCACTGACTGGCGGTACTGCTGGGCAGCACTGATAATCAGTGTACTGCCTGTGACAGTGTGAAGATAGTGCTGCCGATAACCGGCAACTGTATTTACATTGTGATCTGCTATGTCATTGGACACAGCTCTCTCTCTCGCGCGCGCGCGCTCTCTCTCTCTCTCTGCGCTCTCTCTCTCTCTCTCGCTCTCTCTCTCTCTCTCTCTCTCGCTCTCTCGCGCTCTCTCTCTCGCGCGCTCTCTCTCGCGCTCTCTCTCCGCGCTCTCTCTCTCGCGCGCGCGCTCTCGCTCTCGCTCTCCTCTCCCTCCCCTCCCTCCCTCCCTTCCTCCCTCCTCCCCCTCCCTCCCTCCCTTCATGTTTCTCCTCCCCCCCTCCCTCCCTTCATGTTTCTCCTCCCCCAGCTCTTATGCAGCTGAGATTTTGCCTTTAATTTTTATTTTAAACTGAATGGGTTGTTTTCCAGGGTAAGGGTACACATATACGTGGTTTGCTTAAAAATTTCTAAGTTCATCTATCTGGTGTAACTTTAAAAAAAAGTTTACAAGGTTCCTTCTTTGAGCAGTCAGTCAACCAAAAAAAATTTCAGTTTTTGGTAGATCCTGTAGAGCTAGAGACCCTGTAACAACACATAGTAAAAGTCCTATTAACTGTAAAAAAAAATAAAAAGACTAAATACTGTTTGATTTCTCAGCTGTTGCTCTCCTAAGTCGTTCACAGGTTTCCCGAATTTCTTCTGCTAACCTCTTTGTCACTGTAGTATGCAGAATTGATGTGGAGGTCAGGGAGAGGAACCACTGAGAGCTGGGACCTAGGAGATTACCGCCCTCAGAAATGTCAGTTTCCAGTGGACTTTGGGTTATTCAAACCAGAGATATAAGTGGTGTTTGATGCCACAGACACTGAGGAAGATTAGTATTTACAGTTGATAACTACAAGTAGCAGGGGTTTTATTTTTTACAACACGGTTGCTATAAACAGATTTCTTAAAAATTATTCTAAAGGATTTTTTTTTTAATAATAAACAAACATGTCATACTTACCTGTCTTGTGCAATGATTTTGCACAGGGAATCCCTGATCTTCTCTTCTGGGGTCCTCCATTGTTGCTCTTGACTCCTTTCCCACTATGATTGCCCCCATAGCAAGCCATTTGCAATGGGAGCATTCGTGCAGGCTCCTTATCAAACCGTGCTGTGTGTGTTCACTGATGCACACAGCGTGGCTCTGCACCATCCCTGCTGTCTCCTCACTGATTGTGATTGACAGCATCAGGAGCCACTCCACTGATGCCTCAATCTCTAGTGAGAAGCAAGAGAGCTGCTGCTCTCTAACACAGCGCTGGACCGAGATCAGGCTAGTATAAGGGCAAGCTGGTGGGGAAGGGGGGTGGTTGCATTAAGGTGAAAAATCTTCTACCTTTGAAACCACTTTAAATCTCCCTGGGGAATCAGGGACATATGTGCATTTGAGTTCCTGGGCCTCCACACCTGCTCTGGCCATTATGAAGACCCCCTCATTCCCTGTTAGATTTTATACTATATGACAGACACCCAAAACTCTGAAGTGTTAAGAGACCAAGTTGGAAATAAAGGCAGGGAGATCTTGGAGTTGAGTTATCCAAAATATATAGGAAGCCAGGGGTTGACTCAGCCCATCAGGCTCTACCAGTAAGTAAAATATAACTTTTTGATGGATTGGCACTTCAGGAAAAATTGTTTTTGATCTTTACTATGTGCATTATTTTGTTTGCATTAGATCTTACCGGTGCTCAAGATGGCAGTGTGAGAATGTTTGAATGGGGTCATGCTCAACAGATAACATGCTTCCGGACAGGTGGGAATTCCAGGGTAACACGGATAAAGTTTAACCACCAGGGGAACAAGGTATGTACCCTTTACTGTGTATCTGCAAAAGATATCAGAGGCCACAGGAAGAAATCTATAGCACTTCCAGATATATACTGCTTCTTTTAAAATGAACTCATAGGGTGGACTACAGCTGTTGACGTAAAAATAAGAATTCTTCAAATGTAGTGAACAGCAGACATTTTTCCAAGTAAATTTTCTGGCAAAATAAAAGCGTCTCTTATATTTGAAATATTAAACCAGATACAGTATGGTTAACGTTTTGCAGTAAATATACTACAAACAAAGCAAGTTACACTTTGCTACTTCTACAAGATCCAAACACAGTGGCCATTCACCAAATATGATTCTCCCTCTGAATTTGCATGGCACAGGGAGGACAGACTCCCTTGAGCTGTAATAGGTCAAACAAAGTTGAAAACAAACATATGAAATTTATGTGTCTACTGCCTGGATTACTGGATGGTAACTTAACCTAAACACATTTGCACAATGTTTGTGAAAGAAAATACTGTTTATGGCTTTAAGTACCATCTCTATGCTGATGACACACAAATCTACCTTTCTACCCCTTACCTCACCCCTTCGGTCTCCTTTTGCATTACTAACCTACTAAGCGACATATCGGCATGGATGTCACTCCACTTCCTCAAACTCAATATTTCCAAAACTGAGCTCTTAGTATTCCCCCCAGGACTTTTCCAGAGCTTCCCCATCCTCTGGAACTCTCTACCCCAATTTATCAGACTATCACCTACTCTGCTCACTTTTAGGCGATCTCTGAAAACCTATCTCTTCAGGGAAGCCTATCCTGCCCTCAGCTAATAATGGAATCTTCTACTCTTCCAACCAGTCCATCCCATACAGTTACTACCTTTTGCACCACTAGCCCTTCCCTCCTAGATTGTAAGCTCCAAGCAGCAGGGCCCTACTTTCCCTCTTGTATTGAACTGTATTGTTGCTGTATTGTCTCCCGTTGTATTGTAGAGCGCTGAGCAAACTGTTGGCACTATATAAATCCTGTATAATAATAATCAAATGGGTTTTTTTCAACACCCTTGAAATTCTATGAAATAGCAGTTCTTGGCACTATAAACCAACCTGAAATAAAAGGTTTGGTTGCGTTTGAAGTGGTTATGCTCTTGCAGAGTCTTGGGGGATCATCCCCAGACTTCACCAGATGGAAGAAGCAGGGCTGACCTGTAGCATTATTGATATGCTTTGGATCCTTCTGTAGGCAATCCCTTGGCATGTAGTGCAACGTGGCAGTTTGCCGCAGGGTACTCTACAGGCCCAGGGCTGTGGTCTGCCAGCGGCCAAACTTGTACTTGAAGTCCTCGGTAGGGGATATGCCCACCATGGTGGGCAAAGCCAGCATAGGGTTGAACTCTCTGTTAATCTGCCTACAGAAGCTTCAGCAGTGAGTACGGGGTGGAAGCCCTTTAAACATTCACGCCCAAGATGCCTTTCCTCTCCAACTCTCACCATGTGGTGTGTGGGTATGAGCAACCACTCTTCTGAGGGTCATTGCTGACAGCCTGGGAGCTCAGGTTTCTTTTGAAATTGGTGCCATTTTACTGTAATTGTACACTTGCACTGACACTATTACACCTGTATAACCCCCACCGCGTGCCATCGACTGTGCCTGCACATTCCTTCCCTTTCCAAAGCAGTGAAGGTTGTAAGTACCCTTCTGGGGACAATATTTCACAAACCTGGCAGACCCTTAAAGTCAGATGGACTTGCTAGCTCAGACTTGCCTCTCACCTCTAATGGGGGTAGTAGCTTATCCACTCATGGCCCTAGTACCCTTTATTTCAACAGCTGACCCCTGTCTGACACCCTACCTTCTTCTGGCTATTCTGCTGACTCATCTGCCACACCAGATTTCTTTATTGTACAGAAAGGATTTTTTTTTTTTTTTTTTTTTTGTCCCTTTCGAGACCATGGATTTCATGGGTCACACCCATGCCCCTTCGATTTCCCCTGGTTTGATCTTAGGTAACATGTCTAGCTCAAGACAAAATCAAAGGACGAGATGGTAGTTGAGGAGGATCCTTCTCTTTCTAAGGAATCAGATCAAGATGACATGCCTGTAACGGAGAATTCATCCAACCTTAAATATACCATGGCTATCCTCATGGAGTCTGCTTCCCCAAAGACATCTACCATGGGGTCTTTTAAATTGCCTAAGCCAGCTAAGACTTTCCATTTCCAATTGCTGGTAGAGCCTGTCCTGTATAAGGGAACATTTTTTATGGCTCGCTCACACCATGGTGCAGAGACGTCAGTTTTTCTGTACCACTCTACAAGGGAACAACAAAATCAGTTGTTCCCTATGTGCCCTGTTCACACTACAACACTAGTATCACTTGCAGATTTTTTTTTTCTGCGCAGGAATCTGCAACGTGTATAAAACGCATTGAAGAGCACATGAAAACTGATGTTTCTGCAAGTGAATTCCACATGTCTGTTTCCATTGTTTTTTATGCACATATGGTGTGAATGAGCCCTTAAGCTTCCAAAATGCTTCATTCAGCAGAATCCTGTTAAGGAAATTTGTCTACGTAAGTGGGTAGTTTCTGTGGTAGATCTTGCCATTTCCTGTCTCAACAAGACCTTCACAACACCTTTTGAAGGACCAGGGCACACAAGAGGTTAGAGGCCTTTCTTTTCCTTGGCAGGCCCCACCATGCATCCTGTGGTTGCTTCTGTAGCAGTTTGCGAGACCACTGCTGTCTGGGCCTGAAATTCTAGTTCCATCCTCACAGATGCCTCAGTCCATGGTGAATTAGACCTTTTTACCTTTTCAGTACTGCATGAATGGCATCAAATTCCCAGGATGAGTATCCTGTCCATCATCCACATGCAGAGGATGAAATTGGCTTAAATGTTAAGTCAGCTGAGCTTAACAGCAAGAAGCAGCTTGAGCTATGGTAGTCTTTTTGCTCAGATAAAGAGGCTTCCTCCTTCCAGTGATGGAGGTGATGTGTTGTCCCTCAACAGTTGTTAGCCTTCTTGTCCCAAAAATCTAAGATGCCTGTGTTGTTTCCAGGGGCTACAAACTGGAGTCTCACTTTCTGCTGCCACCTCGTTTTGTGTTCTCAAACATTTCTCCATCCCTTTCATGGCATGCAGATTTGCTTGTTGTTAAGCAGCTTTTGTCTCAGGTCGTCATTACACCTGTACCTACAGAGGAACTCCTGGTCTCTACTCAAACCTTTTTTTACAGTTCCCAAACAGGATGAAGGAGTCTGGCCCATTCTGGGACTGTAGGCTCGACTTGTTTCTAGGGGTTCAGAAGTTCCACATGCAAAATGTGCATCTTTTTGCAGGTAAACAAATGTGCATGTGTTATTTTCTTACACTGCAGCCTGTAAAGCATTGCAAACATGATCAACAGATTGTGGGTGCAAGGCCAGGCTCCTGCAGACTCTCAGCCAGTTGTCAGCTTTTACCTCCCATACGGGCAGACAGTTACTGAACTGCGGAAAGAATCAATGAAGTACAAGTGTGCTCACCAGTATCCTTGTAGTTCACTGAGAACTACAAGCCTTCTGCCACAGTTGCTGAAGGTACCTGTAGTTAATTCATTCACAGAACTCTAGAAACCGCTCTGCCTATATAACCACACTATTTACAAATTGTGAAGGTTGGGGGGAGACAGTCCCCTGACCGCTGTCACAGGTAGGGGGTTGAGGGGAGTGCTGGCAGGTACTGTACTGTAAATATGTTTGTTATAGGTTACAAAGTTGAACTTCTCCTTTTAAGTCAGGGGTTTCCAACATGTGTTGCATGCAGTCCAACACAAAATTGTAATGTAAATGTGTTTATACATAGCAAACACATGCAGCTGATGAAAAAAATTGACAGCGTCTCTTTACTGGACTTTTAGAAGTTTTATTTTCCCAAACAATATATCCCACTCTTCACAATCCTGCCTTATTCATGCCATCAGTTCTCAGCAGCACCTATATTTGTGAGCAACTATTTTAAATGATGAAGCACACAAAGGGCACAATTAGAACCAAAATATCTGATGAGCACCTTGAGAAATACTACTACAGTCATTGAACGATATATTGATACATGCATTTATCAAAAACAGTGTCAGATCGTTTTATGTTGCCATCTTTTACATTTATAGTAAACAATATTACAAAAAATTAAGTTTTATTACTCAGATGACTCCATTGTCTACATCAGTGATGGTCCACCTGTGATCTGCTCAACTTTTTCTGCTCATCACCTATCCTTATTGTTAATGTGTTTCATGTGTGGCCCAAGACAATTCCTTTTCTTCCAATGTTGGCCAGGAAAGTCAAAGGTCAAGGGTTGCACACCCCAGCTTTAAGTGTTCTCAACTTTTTACATTTAATGTTTTAAGCTGACCATTGCTGATGTAACTATATTAAAAAAAAAGGCTTTAGTAATACTTGAAGCTTTTCTGTTTACTGCTAAACTTATTTTTATTCTTATGTTCATTATCTGTACACATTCAATGTGTGAACAGCATAAAACTGGTAATTTAAGAAAATAACATTGTTTATCATTTTTTGCCCTGTGTTGTATAGTTTGGAGTTGTTGATGCTGATGGGTTTATCAGTCTGTATCAGACCAACTGGAAGTATAGTGCTGCTAGTGGAAGCCAGGCTAAGCCTTATTTGGTAAGGTTTTTGTTTTATTCTGTTGTAGTTTGCAACATGTAAATCTCAGTATCTGATTATCTGTATACATTTTTCTCTGCTTTACAGACCTGGCAGTGCCATAATAAAACCACCAATGACTTTGTGTTTATAAGTTCCTCTTCCCTAATAGCTACAGCTGGACAGTCAAGCGATAACAGGTAATTAATATGTAAAAATTAAGCAATGTTGGCTTAATTACAGGACACCATACATGTCTTCAAGAAAATCGGTTCCAGATAAGCTATGCTACACTACAGCAATCCTTTCTTTCATGAACCCCAGTACTGCTGATCAAGAACAATGCCTAATGTCATATAGAAAGCATGACCCTTTACTCCCTGCCCTTGCTAAACTGACATTTTTATTCATAGTGTATTACTTTGCAAACCAGAGGACAAATGGTGACTCAGCCAGTGGTTGGTGCTGTTGAACATTACACTTTGCTAAGCCCATCTAAATGAGTCAACAGAACAAGACATTCAGACAAAAGGATTTTGGCCAAGTCCTCTTATTGTTTCAGTGTCACCACAGTGTGAAATAAATGCTTGCGATCTGTCACATGTCTACTCTGATACTCTGCAACCATGCTTTTGCACTGTAGAGAGTGAAGGAAAATATTTATTATATTTCAGATAATATGCTGCTCATCATGCTGATTGATATTATACTATTACAAGAGGAGCATTGCATGTTTTTGTGTACGTAGCATGAAAATTGGGCACATCCCTCTACTTGTATGGGGAGTGGGATATTTGGGTGATTAACCCTGCCTACTTCTCTCCTTATATCCTGAATTCCAGACATTCCTCTATTCCAGGATGAATCTTACCCCATTAAATCTCCACACTCTGTGTCTTCTGCCTTCTCTACTCTATTTTACCTAGGTCTTTGTGTAAAGTTGCTTTACCTTGTTGTGAAGTAATTACCCTGCTTAGCTATTTACCTGCAGAAAACACTGAGACTGAACTATTTACATCAACTTCTTTATCTTGTATTAACAAATTAATCAGAAGCCCAGATCCTTGAGGCACACCACGCAACACTCTAAACAAGTGTTTATCAATTTTTTTTCAGTCAAGGCACACTTTAAAATTATGCCCAAATCAAAAAAAACTAAATTAATAGTTGTGCATATATTGCAGCAGCATACACACACATGGCCCACTAATCATTAGAGGTGATTTATTCCTATAGTATCCTGGCATTTCTCTTCTCCCCATGTTTCTCTCCCTCTCTCTGCTAATGCTCCCCAGTGCTTACAGAGGGGAGGGTCAAACAAGGATGCTGTGTAGATGACCAATGTTCTCATCATCCAATGATGTCATTGGTTCTTAGGATGGAAGTGGTTGGCTGCACAGTGGCCTGGGTTGTAATGCTGCACAATAAAAAAAAACTTGCAGCTCTGTGTAACAAGAAGGCAAACTTGATTCTCTTGCTGGCTTGTTGACTATTTTTGGGCAATTAGTGGTAATTTTTATGAATTTTACCAAATGCCAAGACACCCTGGGTCTTGGCACCCAGGTTGAAAAACAGCTGTTCTAAACCATTCAGAAAATATGCCATTAGGTGCTGCTTCTCTGGACACGGTCCTGTAGGCAGATTTCTATTCTTGTACAGTTAACCTTTTCCCATCCGTCCCATGTCAATAAACGTCCAGATGGGAGCGCTGCTGATTCGGGTGGGCATTTGTAAACGTCCCCCCGCATCCATTGCCCCTGTGCATGCTCCCTGGGAGTGCGCGACACTGTGATTGGTGACCTCTGTGTGAAATCCTGATTCATGTGATCACTGATTGGCCAATCAGTGATCACATGAATAGTAGTAAACAAGATGTCACTTTCTGACATTGATTACTACTTGTGAAGTCTGTGAATGATCACAGAGGTCACATGGTACAAGGCTATTCACAACAGCCTTGTACCATGTGACAAGCTGTGACTAATCACAGCTCACACAGTATTTCTCAATGGCTGCAAGAATGCAGCCAGAGAAAAGGAGAAATGATTGCTTTTACAGCCTTTATGGGTATAAAACCAATTCGTGTATAAAAAAAAAAATCTTCATCACCCCCCATAAGTAGTACAGTGTCACTATGGTGACACTGTACTGCTAGGGTGACAGTATGTTAAAAAAAACCATAAATATTAAAAGAATACAATTACAGTGTAAAATACATTTAGAAAAAATATAATTTTTGGTTATAAACTATTTTTTTTTTTTCCCTTTTACTAAAAAGATAGATGAATACATTTTGGCCAATATGTATGAAGAAAGATTATTTATTTGCAACATTTTATAAGAAAAAATTTTTTTTTGTTTTTTTTGTTTTTTTTTTTAGTTTTGGACATTTTCATTTATATAGCAAAAAAAAATAAAAATCCCAGTGGTGAATAAATACCACCAAAATAAAGTTTTATCTGTCTCAAAAATATGCTAAAAACTTCATATGGGTACAGTGTTGCATGACTGCGCAATTGTCATTCAAAGTGTGATAGCACTTAAAGCTGAAAATTGGCCTGGACTGGAATGGGATGAAAGTGTCCAGACTGGAAGTGGTTAATATCACCAATGCCAAAAGACCTTAAAGCGATTTGTAAAGGAAAATTTAAAAAAAAATAACAAACATCTCTATACTTACCTGCTCTGTGCAATGTAATTGCACTGAGCTGCCCCAAATCTCCTCTTCTCAGGTCCCCCGTGAGTGACTCTAGGTCCTTCTCTCTTTTCAGTGCCCCTTATGAGAACCTGCTTGCCATGGAGGCACTTTTGTGTGCTCACTCCCAAGCCCCACTGCTGCGTCCATTGGCACAGAACCTCTTTAATCCAGTTATGTTTTTTGTTTTCTTGAGCAGCTTTTTGTAGACTTAAAGCAGACCTCCGGGCAAAAACTTCTTTACATGTCCTTGTTGTTGATTTCCCTACTTTCACTGAATATGTCATCCATCTTCTGGTTCAGTCAGTAGTTGCTCTGAAATAGCCTATTCATTTTCAAATCAAACTGTTAATTCTCTTTGGTTTCCTGTCTGTAAGATCAGTGGCTGCTATGCCTCCTATTCCTCCAGCCTCTTCTTGAGTCCCCCGCAGGCACTCCAAGTTCTCTCTGCTATCAATCTGTCCAATGAGGAGGTAGACAGCAGTGAGAACCGCTGCTATTGTGCACATTCCTGGATCGGATTATGCTCAGGTAAGGGGGATCCTGCAACAGAGAAGGGTTTTTACCTTAATGCTTAGAATGCATTAAGGTAAAAAAATTCCTTGAGGCTTTAGAACCACTTTAATTTGATTCAGGTCCCTTCAAACACTTTATTTCAAACACTTTTTGCAAAATGAGATATACTATGATGACCACAGGTCATCCTTTATCCAAATTACAGCTAACTTCCTCATAGAACGTTAAAAGGTTTGTTTAGAAAGAACGATCAGTCCACTCCAGTCACTCCCAACGATTGCTCCAGTGATCCCTTGTGGCAGCTTCTGTTCTGCTGCTTCCGCTTCTACTGCCTGTATTCTACAGATTTCTCTACCATGCAGCTCACCTCCTTACGGCATGGTAAATGGTTGGTCTGGCAAGAACAGGCTTTCATAAATTCATGTTGGTTATTATGATGATACTATTTTCATTGGCAAATAGATACAATAAAATAAAGCCGAGAACACGGACAATAAATACATGAGTTTTATGTTTTGTTTGCAGAAACTGTGACTTAATCTTAGAGTAGAATTATTTTATACTTTTTTGTTTTCTTATTTTACATTCTAGTTTGCTCATATACTGCAGTAAGTGTAGCTCTGAAAACTATCATCAGAGCAGGTTATGATGGCATTTTTAATTGTAAACTTTTTTGTTTCAAAATCTTAAGTGTTTGTTTTTCTTTGATTCATCCCTATAGAAATGTCTGTATGTGGGATACACTGGTAGCACCTGCAAACAGTTTAGTTCATGGTAAGTTAGTTTAATATTTTTATTAACGTCAATTAATACACATATCTGGGGGCCTGATTTCAAATATAACACTTTATGCATAGTATGTCATTTCACTTTTTAAAATACAGCCAACAAATGTAATAGAATAACTAGTTTTCTCTTTTCTGAGGAATATAATGCCCGACACTAGATTATTTTGGCCCCTTTCACACGAAGGGTCTGATCAGGTCCACCTCTGTTTTTTAGGCAAACCTGCTCAAAGGGTCCTTTCACCCCAATGGACTGGCGGGTGTGAATGGACTTGTGCTCATTTACATCTGCCCAATTCAGGTCCCCTAAAACAAAACGGAAGGGAAGCCATCCTCCTTCTGATCTTTTTAGCAGTCTGTAAGGGGGTAATTCTTCCCAACGACCACAAGTGTAAGACGTATTCTTCCCACTGACCATTACACTAATGTATCATGAATTGTAGATAGTCATTTTAAGCAGAGGTTCCCTGAGATTGGAAAGTTATGTCAAGGGTTTCTCTGCGTTGAAAAGGTTGAGAGAGGCTAATCTAGGTGGGTCGCATCAGAGAGCAGTCAGGTGTAAACGGACAGCGGAGTCTGTTTACTCCTGGCCCCCCATAGAGAAGAGCAGGCTCTGTGAATGTCCACTTTGCATAAACTTTGTGGACACTGATAGCTCATCCACCCGGCCTGCACTGATCACCAGGGGATCAACGGACAGATCCCCTGCTGATCAAATTGGAGTCTACCCTGTGTGAAAGGGGTCTTTGGCGAAATCTATTTTGACATAAGGAATTATGTTCTGATGCCATTGTGTCATAGATTATGCCTAGAATTCATCCCTATACCTGACTTTAAAACACATACTGTATCTCATGATAACGCCCCCCAAACACACCTCCAAGATGACCACTGCCTTGCTAAAGAAGCTGAGGGTAAAGGTGATGGACTGGCCAAGCATGTCTCCAGACCTAAACCTTATTGAGCATCTGTGGTGCATCCTCAAAACGGAAGGTGGAGGAGTGCAAGGTCTCTAACCTCCAGCAATCTCTGGTGAACCCCATGCACAAGAGGGTTAAGGCAGTGCTGGAAAATAATGGTGGCCACACAAAATATTGACACTTTGGGCCCAATTTGGACATTTTTACTTAGGGGTGTACTCACTTTTGTTGCCAGTGGTTTAGACAGTAATGGCTGGGTGTTGAGTTATTTTGAGGGGACAGCAAATTTACACTGTTATATAAGCTGTACACTCACTTCTTTACATTGTAGCAAAGTGTAATTTCTTCAGTGTTGTCACATGAAAAGATAGAATCAAATATTTACAAAAATGTGAGGGGTGTATTCATTTCTGTGAGATACTGTAAATAAGCATTATTTTTCTATTCACCATACCTGATTTTTACACTTACTTTGTCCCTGTTTGCGGTGATTCTGTGTTGGTCCCTACAGTCCCATTTTTGCATAGAGAATGCTGGCCTGATGCCAATAGTCAATCAGGCTATATCAGCTGCATACCTATGCATCTTAAATCTACACTCCCCTTCAAAGTTGGCCAGCATGACATGCTTATATTCTGTAACACTTTGCGCAAACCAGGTTATAACACTCACAGAAAACAGCCACAACTGGTCTCTTGCAGGAAATTTGAATATTGAATTTAATCTATTTAATTATAATTGCGAAGGCTTACCTTTAGCTTTCCTTTGGGGGGGATCATTCGCCTCAGACAAAGACTTATTTAAGTTGTAGTTGGACGAACCGCATATACACAGAGGGATGTGACATCATCAATGGGCTTTGTGATGACTAGCAGTTGTGCAGCTTTGAAAATTCTTGCAGGGATGTTGTCACTGGAGTCCTTCACAATATAAGAAGCCAGCATGTGATTCAAATTGGCAGTAACCCTGCAGAATTAACATCGGTTATATGTGCAGCTAGCCTTAATGTTAAAGCTTAGTTGTATTATTCAGCTACAGCTAGTAGGCCATAATGCAATATGTGACCCTTGTATCAGTCTAACCCCACAGGGTGCCAAAATGATATACATTATATAATCGTTTTTTTTTATGAAAATACATATTACATAGACAGCACATGGGCATTGGTATGAAATTATATTTGTCACACTTGGCTGCATCAGTATAGGTTCTGTTAAACTTGTGATTTGAGTGGACAGTGGGGAGCATCCCCATTTCTACGAGTGCTGCTCAGTGGAATAAAAAAAGTTTATTATCGTTTCATCTCAATTTACAGCCTTTACTTGTCATGACAGTGGAGCAACTGTGGTTGCTTATGCTCCAAAGAATCAGCTCCTAATATCTGGAGGCAGGAAAGGATTCACATGTTTGTTTGACTTGCGTCAGAGACAACAGAGGCATGTTTTCCAGAGCCATGATTCTGCTGTGAAGGCCATTGCTGTAGACACAACAGAGGAATATTTCATTACAGGATCTGCAGAAGGAAACATTAAGGTAAGTGTCTGTTCTTAGGTTCTGTAGACATTAAAAAACTTTTCTTGATCACTCACATTTTTATTTTGAGACTAAAAGTATTCAAATGTATTTTGCCCAAAACAAAATAACATTTTCTCCTTGATCTTATTAGTGTGTGTATATATATATATATATATATATATATATTTATATATAATTTTGTACTGTAAAAATTATACTTTGATGATTATAAATATATATATAGTGCAGCGCTAAAAATAACAAACAGAAAATTCGATCTAAAAAATTTGATCTGAAAAGTTTGATCTGAAATTGGTAATCAAATGTTCATTAAATCATCAATGTAATAAATTGGACACAGCTATGAAGAATCCGGAACAAATGGCAGAAATGCGCACTCACCGACCGCGCATAGGAAATGCGCATATGTGTATTAAATTCCACAGAATGTCGATCTCCCTCAGGAAGGAGTGTTACCAAGTGATGGTCAGCTGGGCTCACAGAACCTCCTAAGGATCGGAATGGGTCGGCCGGATAAAAGGCTCCAGATAAAGGCTTCCCTCTTCTGGATAAAGTTGGAAGCTGTGTCTGTATGGGCACTGATGCCAGAAAGTAATAGATGGTCTAATTTCTGCTGCTCCAGCTTCCTTTTATTATGACTCTCTTTCTTCATTTCTTGGAGAAGAGTTACATGCCCATCTTTCAGCTCTCCAAACAGGACATTTCCTATGCGCGGTCGGTGAGTGCGCATTTCTGCCATTTGTTCCGGATTCTTCATAGCTGTGTCCAATTTATTACATTGATGATTTAATGAACATTTGATTACCAATTTCAGATCGAACTTTTCAGATCAAATTTTTTTAGATCGAATTTTCTGTTTGTTATTTTTAGCACTGCACTATATATATTTATTTTTACTTAAGGCTGTTGTGATCTCCTTTTGTGCTATTAGCTGCTTAGTTTACCGTTATACAAGAAGCGCTCACCACATCTTTTATACTTTGATGATTGGTTGCTATGGACATCAAGAAATGTTCTTGTTTGGCAGATCTTTCATATGTAAGCCCCATCATGTTCAAAGGGTTTTTCTGTAGTAACAAAGCTTAAAGTTATAGTTTATTTGCAAAATAACAAAAATCAGGGTGGAGTGCAATTAGATACGCCTGAAGAATCTGTTAATGTTTAACAAAATATACTGTTTTATGTTTCCCATATTAGGTGAAGGTTTAGGTTTAAAAATATAAATGCCATTTTTGTTTAGATAACTGCAAAAACACTTCATATCACTTGTAGAATTTAAAGGGGATTTTCTGCTTCAACCATAGATGAATACATTCTCCTCTTGACCCAGAATGCACATTTCTGCAGTTATTTTCCTGCTGCCATGCTGGAAAACCCTCAACCTCCCATAAATGTAAAGGATGGCAATAAATTGCTGCAGAGAGTTACCAACATCTAATTTGTTATTGAGTGAGGTATCTGGGTGGTGAAAAGTGTGTTAGGTACCAAGACTGCTAACACATGAATCTATGCATTTTTGTACCTTGTTACAGTGCTTTCTACATTTTTGTAGTGTTACATCATGGAAATAAAATGGATTTAAATAAGGGTTTGTAACAGATTTGCCCAATATGGACTACAATAGTAAAGTGGAAATCAAGCAACACAGTTATAAAAAAAATATTACAAATGATTAACTAAAACAAAAACTGAACAGTATTAAATGCATAAGCATGTACTCTATTAATCCCCTGAAATCTAGTACAACCATCTGGCATTTAAAGTTACATAATTACATGTGTGGCACCCTTTTGTGGTTAATGTGTTGCATGGTCTCAAAATTAACACTTGTTTTTGAAAGGTCCCAGGGTTAGTTGGGGCTTGTTCACCTTAACTGTGCTACAGCGTTGGCACATTATGCACCCTTTGAATGGCTCCCATCACACATCCATAATGCACCTGAATTGCAGTATGCCACAGCACACCACAATACATGATGTTCAAAACAATGTAGCTGGACCTAAATTATTTGAGGTACTTTACAGCCCATTCTTTTTGAATGAGCTGCCTAATATAGCGAGCTGCAGTATACCTTAATACGCAAACCCTCCAACATGACCTCTCTCAATCAAAATGTAATTAAAATGGCAGCTAGATGCTTGTTAGCAGAGGGTTCTGTACCTGAATTGCATAGGTAATGTTTGAGGATCTCTATCCTTGAACATCCTTGAAGCACTGCTAAATCCATTGTTGCAATATGGAAACCTTATGACACAACCAACTCCTAGAGAAGACTTTTCACAAAATGTGAGAGATGGCCTCCTGGGTAAGGAGAATATTAGTAAGAGGAGCAATTAGGAGGCCAGTGATAACGCTGAGACAACTTTTCCACAATTTCTACATTTATAAAAGAGTGAAATAAAAAAGAAACTCATAATGAAGGGTTTGATTTCAAGTATTTGAAAATGGCAAAAATGTAAAAACAATACTCTGGGCTCACTGAAGTTTTTGAACGCATCACATAATGCTGACGCTACTCATCACCCTGACAACTCTATCCCATAGTAGTAGCGTCATGTTGTAAGGGTGTTTTCCATTGGCAGGTCAAAAACTAGTCAAGTTTGAGGGCAAGATGGATAGACAAATGGAGGCCAATTTTAGAGGAAGACCTGTAATGATAATTTTGATAATTTTCTATAAATGCTTTTTGCTTGGTTTAAATGGTTCTGTATGTTGTGTAAATCATCATATTTTAAAAATCATTTAAATAATGTTATTTCCACATTATACTATAAAATGTTAAACGTTACAAGGAGGGACAAATACTTATGTAAAAACACTGAATAACGTATCTAGTTAAAAACCTATAAATTACAATGTAGTAATTCTAGCACGTTTGAAAACAATTTGTGACTTACTTTAAATCAAAAATAGTGCACTTTTCTAATTATAGCCAGACCTTGCTTCCCTGCGGGCTTAGTTGGCAGCAGTGATATTACGGACCCGTGAAAGTAACTTTTCAGCGTAAGACTGATGACATCACCCTAGATTTTTGGCCAGTTCAGATATTTTACAGTGATATGGAGAATCATCCCTCCTATTTATATTTAGCTTTTGTCTGTAAGTGTTTTTTAACCATAATTTGTTTTCCTTGTAGATCTGGAGCGTTACAAATTTCACATTGTTGCACACTTTCCTCAATGAACATGCAAGACAGTCCCTCTTCAGGAATATTGGAACAGGGGTGATGCAGATAGAGACAGGACCAGCCAACTACATCTTTTCATGTGGAGCTGATGGCACTGTCAAAATGAGAATATTACCGGATCGTTTTAGTACAATAAACAACCCTCTGAGAAACGATGTCAAATTTTTCCTTTGAGTTACCATATTGTATTGTTTAACCCCTGTGAACACTGGAGTGGTTTTACAATGCTTTGTCCTGCACTAGCACTGAAAGTGGATTAAACTTTATGTATGTAAGTGAGAGGTGGCCGACGGGTGAATTGTGCAATGCTTTACAGATGTGCCACTAAGATAATGCTTTACGCAGTTTGTATTTATTTTTGTGATTTATATTTTTCTTTTGCCCTTGAAGCACTGATGCCTTAAATATGATTAACATGATCATTCATCTATTGAATGCTATGTTGCCTAAAATAGGAAAATGGATAAATATGTAAAATGATATATACATATATTCATACATACTTGTACTGCTGCTGTTTTCTTGATTTTTTTTTTTTTTTTTTTTTTTTTTTTTTTTTTTTAACAATTTTTTTTCCCATTTTTAAAACTCTTTAAAAAATCTGCACACTTAGAAAATATTTTATTGGTATGTGTATAAAATTTGAAATTTATGATTTAATTATCATAATGTTATATATACTTAAATGAAGATAAATTATATTTTAGAACAGTTTAAAGGTCATTTAAAAAAAACGTAGTTTCTGTATTTAGGTAGATTTACCTATATTAGAGTGAGTTCTGGTATAAAAAGAAATGGCTTTTTTTGCCTGACTTTTTAGCATATGGTCTTTGATGCACTTAACTATGTTACAGTGACGCATCTCTACAGGATATACTTTCATATTGTGAGGTTTATAGACTTCAGATAGAGATATACTTTTTTTTTTTTTTTGCCAAACTGTAGATTCAGTAAATATTATGACCAAATACTAAAAGCACAAGAAATCTAAACTTTTTACTGCTTTTGTTTTTTTTTTTAATTTAACATGTATATTCTTTACTACACGCTAAATAACAAGTTTAACGTTTGTCATCCTACTTCTTGATATGTTATAGCTAAAAGCTTAGACTGACCCCTTGGAATCAATGGTTACTGGCTATTGTAAAATAAAATGCACGTCAAAGGGATTTTTTTTAGATTTTCCTACTTTGTCTCTGTGAAATGTCCCTGCACAGCATGTGGTTATGTTCAGAGAATGGCAGTATCATTATGAGGGTAGCCATTGACTTTTGAGGTATACCGATCTCTGCTTAGAAGGCAAATTGTTGAGAAGGAAAAGGAGGGCTGCATCACAGTATGTATGTGATTCTCCTACAACTTTTTGTTGTTCCCAGCATGCTATGGAAATTAGGTGTTCTTTGACTTTCAGTGGCTACACCTTCCATACTTTGCCTGCCCTTGTAATGTATGTAGACCACTCCCACCCTATCGGCGAGCTTATTTAATGCAGTTGGGAGGCTGATTTCCACCCTTCTGTTCCAATGAAAAGCAGCTGTACATTCTTAGGGGCGGTTCACTCTGCAAGAATGGGAGAAAGTTATTCTTCAGAGGAAATATAGTACAGCACCATTCACACATACCGCATGTCCAAAAAAATTCCCCTAAATAAGCTAAAAATAGTCCCTTGATGTATGTATTTTCATTAGCCAAGTATGGACAGTGTCATGACTTTAGCAATAACATATACTGTATATAGCTACAATAAGACAGCTGACATTGAAGATACATTTGAAGGCATATGAATGCTTATAGGTGACTTTTATAACATTCTCAGGACTTGGGATTTTTTTTTTTTTTTTTAATTCCACTAAGGATGACTTTGTAAATTGTATTTTCATTGTTTGAAGTACTTTGACAGCCACAAAATCCTGAATTTAAGTCTTTAAAGAGGTGCAATAACTTGAATAGTAGCTAATGTTCCGCAGTAGAGGATAGCATTAAGTGTAGTTTTAACGCTACAAAACAACTGACCTTAACTGTGTTAATCGACTGTTTTTAAGCCTACAAGTTAGTATAGATTGCCACAATTATTACTAAACAATGGGAACAATCATGTGTTTTGTTTTCAGAGTTTCTAATGAACCATAAAAAATGTGATTTGTCATGTACTAAGTAAAACATCTTTTCAATAAAAGTAGAGACCATACAGTTTGGCTTTTACAGTGTTGCCTTTAGACTCCAATGTTCTGACATTTTATCCGTAAAGCCCAATGCTTGCCCAAAATGTATATTTTAATGCATAAATTGTTAGAGCCTCTGTCAGTTTTATATTTGTTTCCCTGTTGGGGAGATTTCCTTCTTGCTGTCTGGACAGGAAGTGGTGAATAGTCGTACCAACCAGGGCATAGACTTGAACACAGATTTAGACCTTCTGGCAATGTTTTTATTGCAGTCTGTGCTTTTCTGTCCGGGATGACAACTGCTTCCCCCTATTTTATGTTCTTGTGTCACAAGGACAGCAAGTGAGGAAAATTCTTCCTAGTGAAGTGACAGACTGAAATAAACAACTAGAAAAACATTTCTGTCCCCACTCTATGTTGTGGACAGTTATATTGCTGCCTTTTGCCTTCAGAAGGTTTGGTCACATTTAAGTGGTGTTAAACCCTAAAGCAAACATTTATTATTTTGCAGCTCACTAATTCTTAGATGTGATGGATGCATTAGATTTATTTTTTAGGCTTTATTTTCACCTAGTGATCTAGGCAGTAAGTCTGTTTTTCAACAGAACAAGCTATCCTGCAGATGTAGCAGTTAGAGGGTTGGGACAAACCATTTAGCACTGACAGGTGCTTGCAATGACCAACTATTATTTATGTAAAACCTTTATCCCAAAAGGAGAAAAACTGTTGCTTTAACTGCTTATGTGTTAGTTGAAGTTTGGCTTCAGCTTGTTCGCATATCTAAATCTGCTAGTTCATCTAACATTTCCCTCCCCCAAACTGATGATGCTGCTGTCCAAAGGTGTCTCTGTTGCTCCTTTCTAGCGTCTAAGCACCTTAATACAGGAGATGTGTTACTTGCCAGATCACCAGGTGAAAACAGAAGGGAATAAGCCTAAAAAGAAAACTAATACAGCCACCACATCTAAGGTTAGGTAAGCTGCAATATACTCTCAGAGGCCAGTTTATTAGGTACACCTGTTCAATTGCTTGGTAACCCAAATTGCTATTCAGCCAATCACATGGCAGCAACTCCATGCATTTAGGCATCTAGATGTGGTGAAGACAGCTTGCTTAAGTTTAAACCAAGCATCAGAATGGGCAGGAAAGGAGATTTAATTGACATTGAAGGCGACATGGTGGTTGGTGCCAGACAGGATGGTCTGAGTATTTAAAAAACTGCTGATGTACTGAGATTTTTACGCACAAACATCTCTAGTGTTTACAGAGAATGGTCTGAAAAAGAGAAAATATCCAGTGAGTGGCAGTTTTGGGGATGAAAATGCTTTGTTGATGTCAGAGGAGAATGGGCAGATTGGTTCAAAATGACAACAGTGTCTCAAATAACCACTAGTTACAAACAAGGTATGCAGAATACCATCTCTGCACATACAACACGTCAAACCAAAGAAGATGAGCTACAGCACCAGAAGACCAAACCAGGTGCCACTCCTATCAGCTAAGAACAGGGAACAGAGGCTACAATTTGCACAGGCTCACCAAAATTGGACAATAGAAGATTGGAAAAATGTTGCCTGGTCTGATGAGTCTCGATTTCAGCTGTGACATTCAGATGGTGGAGTCAGAATTTGGCAGGAACAACATGGAAGCATGGATCCATCCTACCTTGTACCAACGGTTCATGGATGTGCAGCCAACTAATCTGCAGCAACTGCATGATGCTATCATGTCAACATGGACCAAAATCTCCAAGGTATTGGAATGTTTCCAATACCTTGTTGAATCTATACCATGAAGAATTAGGCAGTTCTGAAGGTGGGTCCAACCCGGTACTAGCAAGGTGTACCTAATAAAGTGGCTGGTGAGTGTATTACATTTTTGGTTTTAAGTTTAATACCGCTTTAAGCCAGCCCTGGTATAGCCCTGCCTCCAACCATTCTGCACCAATATTTGACTAGTGTCCTTGGCATCAGCTCTGCTATTGAAAACGCTGTATTTTTACTCCGCTTTCTCTCTTCAATGAGGATTCCTAATGCACTGTTGATATTTTTATCTTTGAGAACTACAAGCAAGACCTTAAAATTTATCTCCACTTTGCAACCTAAGCCGAAAAAAGACCCCTATGTTTTTTTATTCGCATTCACACAGCATATTGAAACATAAATGTGTTGCATTGCTGATACTATAAATGCTCATAAATAAACTAAAAATAATTATACACCACCTTGTCTGTGTCTGGCACACATACAGGTGAAACTCAAAAAATTAGAATATCGTGCAAAAGTTCATTTATTTCAGTAATGCAACTTAAAAGGTGAAACTAATATATGAGACTCATTACATGCAAAGCAAGATAGTTCAAGCTGTGATTTGTCTTAATTGTGATGATTATGGCTTACAGCTCATGAAAACCCCAAATCCACAATCTCAGAAAATTAGAATATTGTGAAAAGGTGCAATATTCTTGGCTCAAAGTGTCCCACTCTAATCAGCTAATTAAGCCATAACACCTGCAAAGGGTTCCTGAGCCTTTAAATGGTCTCTCAGTCTGGTTCAGTAGGAATCACAATCATGGGAAAGACTGCTGACCTGACAGTTGTGCAGAAAACCATCCTTGACACCCTCCATAAGGAGGGAAAGCCTCAAAAGGTAATTGCAAAAGAAGTTGGATGTTCCCAAAGTGCTGTATCAAAGCACATTAATAGAAAGTTATGTGGAAGAGAAAAGTGTGGAAGAAAAAGGTGCACAAGCAGCAGCGATGACCGCAGCCTGGAGAAGATTGTCAGGAAAAGGCCATTCAAAAGTGTTGGGGACTTTCACAAAGAGTGGATGGAGACTGGAGTCAGTGCATCAAGAGCCACCACACACAGACGGATCCTGGACATGGGCTTCAAATGTTGTATTCCTCTTGTCAAGCCGCTCCTGAACAACAATGTCAGAAGCGTCTTACCTGAGCTAAAGAAAAACCGACCTGGTCTGTTGCTCAGTGGTCCAAAGTCCTCTTTTCTGATG